TGAGCCACCCAGGCGCCCGATCTGTCTTTTCTAATACAAGCGTTTCGTTGCTATAAATTTCCCCCAGGTGCTCCTAGAGCACGTCTCATAAACCCTGATGTGTTGTGTTTTCATTTTCATTTAGTTCAAAAAGCTTTCTCATTCCCTTTCTGATTTCTCCCTGATCTGTGGGTTATTTTGAAGTGTGTTATGTAGCTTTCAAGTGTTTGGGGGTTTTCCCGAGAGCCCTCTGTTATTTCTGACCAAATTCCGTTGTCATCTGAAAGCATACTTTGTACAACTTGAATCATTTTACCTCTCGGCCTGTTTTATGTCCGTTGTTGGGTCTGTCTTGCTAACTGCCCCGTGTGTGCTTGAGGAGAGGATGCTCCGCTGCCTGAGGGGGTGTTGAGGATGCTGTCAAACTGTGTTTGTCGATCTCTTTGCGGTTTTGCTTCATGTATTTTGAAGCTGTACTGTTAGCTGTGTGACCGTGTGGAGTTGTTACATTCTCCTGACGAGTTGGTGCCTTTATCCTTACGAAGTAACAGGTACGTCCCTGGAAACGCTCTCCACAGCCTACTGCATCCCACACAGACCCAGCTCTCGTGCACCCTTCTGTCTAAAGTTGGTGTCCTACGCCGTCCTTCTTACAACCTGTTTGTGTGTGAAGGGCATTTGTTTCTATCTGCTGAGAAAGTGTGCCTTATTTGGGGTGTTGAGAGGATTTACACTTGATGTGTTTCCTGACAGGCCAGGTTTTGGTTGACCATCTTGCTGCTGGTTTTTGTCTCCCCTTCTCCCTTGCCTTCTTTTTGATTAATCAAGCATTTTATTTACTTTTTTTTTTTTAAGATTTTATTTATTTGTCAGAGAGAGGGAGAGCGCACAAGCAGGGGGAGCAGCAGAGGGAGAAGCAGGCTCCCCGCGGAGCAGGGAGCCCGATGCGGGGCTTGATCCCAGGACCCCGGGACTATGACCTGGGCCGAAGGCAGACGCTTCACCGATGGAGCCACCCAGGAGCCCCTTTATTTACATTTCTTAGTGGTTTTTCTTATGATTTGCTCCTCTGCTGGCTCACTAACACTCTCCTTTGTTACTTTAGTGGCTGGGTTAGGGTTTATCAAGTACGTCTTCAACAACTCGTGTTGTATCCTTGCCACCCTCTGCACTTGGTGTAGCATAGACGGGCCTGTGACGGCGCGCTTGGTTTGCCTGCTGCCTGCCGTTGTGGTACCTCCCTGCGGCACGGACGTTTGCATATTACAAACCCGCATTGCATTATTTTGTTTAAACAGTCCTATCTCGGGCGCTTGGGTGGCTCAGTTGGTTGGGCGACTGCCTTCGGCTCAGGTCATGATCCTGGAGTCCCGGGATTGAGTCCCGCGTCGGGCTCCCTGCTCGACAGGGAGTCTGCTTCTCCCTCTGACCCTCCCCCCTCTCATGCTCTCTCTCATTCTCTCTCACCCTCTCAAGTAAATAAATAAAATTTAAAAAAAAAAAAAAAACAACCAGTCCTCTTAAGGGGATTGAAATAATTTTTAAAAATCTTACGTGTAAACTTACGTTGTTATTTCTAGTGCTTTCTATCCCTTTGTGTGGGCCCATGTCCCGTCACTTGCCTTTTGCCCGAAGGGTGGCCTTTCCCATACATAGCAGTGCGGATCTGCGGCTGATGGATTTTTCCAGCTTTTTTATATCTGAAAATCTCCTCATTTGTCTTGGCTTTCGGAGGTTGGTGTCCTCCGTACTTGAAAGATGCCGCCCTACTGTGCTCTTACGTGCCTGTTTCTGACAAGGCTGCAGTGATCCTGGCCTTTGTCCTCTTCATGTAGTATGGATTTTTCCCCTGGCTGCTTCAGGATGCTGTCTTTATGACTCATTGTGAGTGATTTGATTGGCAGGTGTGGACATCTATGTGATGTTCTTTATGGCTCTTGTGTGTGGGGTCCGCTGAGCTTACATCTGTGGGTCTGTCGTCTTCATCTCCTTCCAGCATCATCTCTGTCCCCTTCCTCCATCTTTCCTGGGGGCTTCGGTGAAATAGGTTTCGGATGACGTGAAGCTGGCTCTTGCTTTTCCAGTAGTTTCTGTTGCTTTGCCTTCGAGTCACACATCTTTTCTTCTGCGCCATCTAAGCTCAGACACTGTAGTTCTCTAGAAGTTGGGTTTGAGTCTTTTATAAATCTCCCATGCTGTGCCCTTATGTAGCTTTTTTGACATGGAAGATAATTAGAATTTATAATAACTTTTATTTAGATTTATTTATTTATTTATTATTATTTTTTAAGATTTTACTTATTTATTTGAGAGAGAGAGAATGAGAGAGAGAGAACACCTGAGAGGGGATAGGGTCTGAGGACGAAGCAGACTGACTCCCTGCCGAGCAGGAAGCCTGATGCGGGACTCGATCCCGGGACTCCAGGATCATGACCTGAGCCGAAGGCAGTCGCTTAACCGACTGAGCCACCCAGGCGCCCTTTTATTTTATTTTTTAAGATTTTATTTATTTATTGGACAGAGAGAGCACAAGTAGGCAGAGGGGCAGGCAGAGGGAGGAGAAGCAGGCCTCCTGCTGAGCAGGGAGCCCTATGCGTGGCTCAATCCCAGGACCCTGGGATCATGACCCAAGTTGAAGGCAGATGCTTAACCGACTGAGCCACCCACACGCCTGTTTGTTTGTTTGTTTATATTTATTTATCTTTAATACTTAAGCGCACACGCAGGGGGAGTGGCAGAGGGAGAAGCAGGCTCCCTGATGAGCAGGGAGCCTGACGTGGGATTTGATCCCAGGACCCCGGGATCATGACCCGAGCCAAAGGCAGACGCTTAACCCACTGAGCCACCCAGGTGTCCCGTGTTTATTTTTAGAGAGAGAGCACACGGAGGGGAGAGGAGCAGAGGGGAAGAGAGAGAATCTCAGGCACGCTCCCTGCTGAGCACAGAGCCAGGACACAGGGCTCCATCCCACAACCCTGAGATCATGACCTGAGCCGAAATCAAGAGTCAGACACTTAACCAACTGAGCCACCCACTCACCCTTGTAATAACTCTTATTATCCTTCTCTGCTCATTGTAACATCTGAACCAGTTTCAATTGATTGACCGTTCTCAATATGGATGTTTTCTGCTTCTTTGCATGCGGACATTATGAATTTTACTTGCTTGCATGCTTAGTGTTTTACTCTGTTGCTCAGGTTCTTCCTCCACTTAGGATGAAGTAAAGTTACTTTTATCTGTTTAGTTTTTGCATTTCTGCTGACAGTCAAGGGAGGAAGGGGACAGCCTAAGGCCCACGCAGCTGTGTCCTATCTTTCAGGTCTGAGTGTTGTTCATTGCCTCCTGTTCAATGTCTTAGAAACCATTTTCCACATGTTCTGTGTTTTGTTAAGTCTTCTGTTTTTTGCAGATGTGAGGGTAAATTGGGCTCCCATTACTCCATCTTGGTTGATAAAGAGTAACTTCTAAACTCTTGAAAGATAATAATAGTACCTGTTTCTGACTCAGGGTTTCTATACCAAAAACATTACTCATAATGGAAAAGATTGATATGTTTGTCTTTGTTAAAATTTCTCATCAGAAGGCTCCAGGAAAAAAAAAAAATGCCTTACATACAATCAACAATGGTTTAGTACCCAGGATTTTTAAAGAATAGCTATAAATAGGCAAAAGACTTCCTGATAGAAAAAATTGGCACAAGACAAGAGTAGACATTTTAAAGAGGAACAGCGTGTGGCCAATAAATATATGGACGAAAGATCCAAATTGAGAGTTCAGTGGGACGCTGTTTCACACCCACTCGGTTGATGAAAAGTCAGCAATCTGGTGGTAACCAGCTCGCTGCTGGGCGTGTGGAGTGGGCTGTCCATCTCGGAAAACAAGGCGACATTGTCTCATAGAGTCAGATAACTTGTGCTCTGTGTTTGTAGGCATGTGCCTGGGGAAACTAGATGTGAACAAGAGTTTTGTGGGTAAGAATTTTCATCTGTGGACATAAGTAAGGGTATACTTAGTAGCGCCGTTTGTGACAGAAGCAAACCCAAACATTCCAAATGCAAGAAGAGATGAATGGTGGCCGGTTCTCCAAAGGGAATACTATACAGCATGCATACTTCTTAACAAACTATTTAATACAAGTATAATAAAATTTAGATGTCTGGGTGGCTTAGTTGGTGAAGCATCTGCCTTCGGCTCAGGTCATGATCCCAGGGTCCTGGGATTGAGCCCCGCATCAGGCTCCCTGCTCAATGGGGAGCCTGCTTCTCCTTCTCCCGCTCCGCCTGCTTGTGCGCACACGCTTTCTCTTTCTGACAAATAAAATATCTAAAAAAAAAAATAAATAAATGGGAAGAGACAAATCTGAGTACTGTATGTGGATGCTCTGCCCTCAAGAAGTAGAGCATGACAGCATGACCCCCCCCCGGCCCCCGGAGTGTGGGCTCCACATAGTGACGTCCTCCTGAAGAGAACAGTACACACACTGGGGAGAATGAGCACAACCCATACAGGGGTCAAGGTCCCATCCTCGGTGACGAGTCACATTGAGAGCAGGGACCCCTGACGTGACGTGATGAGAAGGCCCTTCAGCTCTGTGGTGTTGCTCCCCAAACCCATCACCCAACATCACATACATCCCGACGGAGGCACTGCCCCAGAATCTCCCCCCAGAACTTCCGGGCCCCCCGAAACCAGGGACGTGAGAGACGGCTCAGCCCAGAGGCGCCTGGGGAGACGTGATGACCGGGGCAGAGAGAGGGTGTGACAGGAAAACCGAGGAAACCTGAACAGAGTGTGGACTTGTGTTAACAACAGTGAGCCAGACTGGTTCCTGATTTGTGACGCACGCAGCATGTCAACAGGAATCTTCTTGCATCTGCTCACTCCCCCGCCTGGGACACTGGCCTCCCATTCTCTCCTGGTGTCACTTCCAGCCACTGCCTGCCTGGTCCTTGTCTCGCAGTGTGTGTCTTGTGTGGTGTGTCCCTGCGTGCGAGCACAGGCGTGTCGGGTTTCTCTTGCAGTCGGCATCCCCACCATCCGGTGGTGCGGGGCGGAGGGGGACTACAATGTCATGGTGATGGAGCTGTTGGGGCCGAGCCTGGAGGACCTGTTCAACTTCTGCTCAAGGAAATTCAGCCTCAAAACTGTCCTGCTGCTTGCTGACCAGATGGTAAGAATCATGTTTCTGAGGTGACAGGGAGCCTGGGCCCTCGGCACGGGCTTGGTGTGAGTCCGCAGTCTGACGGGACATTCGGGCATGCTGTTCTCCTTCTGTGCCTGCTAGTGCCCAGGGAGAGGGTAGGAGTGCATTCACCTCTGCGGCAGGAGCACGGCCGTGGGCTGGGTTCGGAGACGTGTGTTTTTCCTGATGGGCCCCTGCAGGAAGGACTGCTGGTGCAGACTCTCATCAGGGAGGGCTGGTCCTCTCAGGCTGCTGTCAGTCAACCTCCCCTCCCCACCCCTGAGAGCCAACGAGGGGAGCTGCCCCGGCCGGCTGGGGGTGCAAAGCATGGTTTGTTCAGCATCCTTCCCTGGTTGTGGAGTTCCTCTGCTCTGGCCAAGGGCCACAGGACGTGCAGGTGAGGGCACAGCCCTCACTCTGCCAGGCAGGTGCCTTTCCCGAGGCTGCTGCTGTGGTTTAATCTCTGGTCATTACTTCCCTACCTACAGATTAGTCGCATTGAATACATTCATTCAAAGAACTTCATCCACCGAGATGTGAAGCCAGATAACTTTCTCATGGGGCTGGGGAAGAAGGGCAACCTGGTCTACATCATCGACTTTGGGCTGGCCAAGAAGTACCGGGATGCCAGGACCCACCAGCACATCCCCTACCGTGAGAACAAAAACCTCACCGGGACGGCGCGGTATGCCTCCATCAACACGCATCTTGGAATCGGTGAGCCCGTGGGTGGTGGTGTGTCCTGTGCCTCCGGTCGCCAGGCTGCCTTGGGCACGGCCGTCTCTTAGAGAAAGGCCAGCCTCTTGGGGGATCGTGGGAGTGGTCAGCATGTTTGGCATGGAGGCTGGCTCTCCAGATTCTGCAAAACCCTTTGTGAGGTGTGGTGGGGGCAGGAACGGTTGGGCTTTCTGACAGTCCCTGTAACATTGGTGTCACTCATCCGGGGGTGTCACAGTTTCCTAAGGACACATCAGGGGCAACTTCTGGTGAAACAATCCAAGAATATTTTTCTGTGGTTTTGAAAGTTCGTTTCCACAGTCAGAGTGTGCCTGGGGTCTTGGCTTTGCGGCTGCAGGCGCACACGTGCTGTCCTTGACCCATTTCCCGTCTTTTCCAGAACAATCTCGAAGAGATGACTTGGAGTCACTGGGCTATGTGCTCATGTACTTCAATCTGGGCTCTCTGCCCTGGCAGGGGCTGAAGGCAGCCACCAAGAGGCAGAAGTACGAGCGGATCAGCGAGAAGAAGATGTCCACCCCCATCGAAGTGCTGTGTAAAAGCTACCCCTGTGCGTGTCCTCGAGGGCAGGTGTCAGGCCGGCCCGCGGTCTGAGGGTGGCGGTGGGGGGCCACTGGGAGACTGGCTCCCAGATGGTGAAGAGTGTCCTTGAGCTGGTGGCAGCCTTCTGTCCCTGCTGCTCCTTTACCTTCCAGGGACCATGACCTAGGGAGTTGTCCTTGTTCCTGTGGAGAAGTGCCGCAGGTGAAACCAAGCTGTGCCCTGTGCCGCCGGCTTTTCTTAAACGTCGGTTCCTCCCAGTGTGACCAGTGTTTCAGACGCCGTGTCTCACGTCCTAAGCATGCGGCAGTGGATGGTGGCAATCATGTCGACGGACACCCGGTCAGCCAGTTAGCGCTGAGTCTCTTGTCTTACAGCTGAGTTTGCCACGTACCTGAATTTCTGCCGCTCCTTGCGTTTTGACGACAAGCCTGACTACTCCTACCTGAGGCAGCTCTTCAGGAATCTCTTCCACCGCCAGGGCTTCTCCTATGACTACGTGTTCGACTGGAACATGCTCAAATTCGTAAGTGTGCCGCCAGCGCGTTGACTTCTCAGCATAGAAGTCAGCCAAAGGCCTCTGCCAGACGAGGTGCAGGTTTTAGAAGGCACGTTCACCGCATCGGGGGGGCCAAGTGTACCTGCGAGGGCCGTGGCCTAGGTGGGGTCCACCCCAGGGCGGGAGGTTGAGAAGCAAGATCCCTCTCAAGGGAGAGCAGAGGCGGCACCACGTCAGTGCTGGGCCCCCTGGAGCCGGTGGAGTGGGTCTCCCAAATGCAGGTCTGCCTGGAGCCAGGGCTCTTCCTTGAGTGGTAAATCTTGAACTGGAAGGTACTTCTATGATTGCTGTCAACAGGGCTAAGAGCGCCATGGTTTTGACTGCCTGTGGTGGTGAGGCGTGGCTCCACAGTGTGTGTTACGCAGGAGGGTATGGCCAAGGCCAAGGGCTCTGGCCAGGTGGGGTGACCTCTTGCCCCTCCTGCCTCTGACCCGGCGTGCGGGTGAGCGAGCAAGGTGGGTGCCTGGAGAGGTGCTAGGCTGTGCTTGACTTTGTGGCCGGGCTTACTGAATGGGCAGCACAGGTGTTCGCGTATGTGCAGAACTTGAGTTTTGATGTTTTCTTCTCTAAATCTGGCCACCCATCCTTGAGTCTCTTATAGGAGTCTAATTAATTTCCGGACACTATTGCCAGAGGCTTTCAGGGTTCTTTGGAACTTCTACTTTGTTTTTCTTTATAAATTTGTTCTATTTAGTTAGCTTAAAACAGAAATTGGAATCTTTCCAAGGTGACAAGATCTGACAAAGGAGCAGGACCTCCTCTTCAGAGGGCATAAGACAGAAAGGCTTGTCCTGTGGCCTTGGCAGGGTCTGTGCCCTGCCGGGAGAGAGCCAGGTGCCCTGCAGTGGGCTGGCGCAGGACGTGCAACCGCCGATCGCCCAGGGTCTGGGCAACCTTCTGGCGTCGTTGCCCCCCAGCGGGACTGGCCCCCCTTCTCTGGGCGGGCGGGACACTGAACCCTCTCAGCTTTGCAGGGTGTGTGTGGTGGGACCAGCACTCGGTCTGCACTGCTGCTGGGAGCCGTCACGGGCGGAGTGGGGCACGAGTGGGTGCGGCTGCAGCAGTCAAACTTCATTTGCAGAAACTGATGGTGGCTGGATTTGGCTCGTGGGCTGCGGTTTGCCGACTGTTGCATTACAGCGCCGTTCGTTAGAACATGGCGGGTATCGTGCCCCCACTCGTCTGGGTCGTCATTTGCTCAAAGTGGAACTAGCTGTGGTGTCCACCACGCGGGACCTTCCACGGCAGACCTGGCTGCCTGCGTTCTTGTCACGTGGGCCCTGGCCCAACATCTGCCTAGGCCGTCTGGGCTCTGGTTGGGCCCCCCGCCAACCAGATGCCCCCGCTTCTGTGTGCGTCTCGGATCCCCTGGATGCTAACACCTTGGGCCCGCCGCTAACCTGACCTCATATGATTTCCTATTCCTGTGTGGGTGCTCAGGGGGAAGAGGCCACCCAGTTGCCATCAGTGTTTGGGGTTCGGAAGTGTTGGGAAGACCTCGTCCTCTCACTCACAGGGTCTCGGGGCAGGCTGCTGTCCTAGAGGGAGAGATGCCTCCTCCCAGCCTGCTACACTGCTTGGATGGCTTCTCTGGCAGCAGGGGACAGCCGGGGCCCTTGGGTTGTTTTCCACCAAACCTCATTCAGTCTGGTCTTACCCTGTTTCCTTTGCAGGGAGCCAGCCGGGCCGCTGATGATGCTGAGCGGGAGCGCCGGGACCGAGAGGAGCGGCTGAGGCACTCCCGAAACCCAGCCGCCCGCGGCCTCCCCTCCACGGCCTCTGGCCGCCTGCGGGGCACCCAGGAAGTGGCTCCTCCCACCCCCCTCACCCCTACCTCACACACTGGTGAGTGGGCTAGCACCACGTCTCCCCAGTAGGCACTGGGGGTTTCTGGTTTGTGTGTTGGCTGCTCTGGCTGTTTGAGCTGCAGGCCCCACGCGGGCTTCAGGCGGGCATGCCTCATGGGAGAGGCTGTGTGTATCCGGTCCTAGTAAACTCTGGTTTCTGAGGATTGGCTGGCCAGGGGACATCCGTTTCTCTTTCTCCGTTGTTTCTCTTTCTCATGACACGGATTGCTCCCTAGGAGCCTCTCAGTACCCACCCTTCCATCCCCTCCATGAGTGGCATCTTAAGCACGGAGGCCTCGGGCTGCCCTCCTGCTGGATTCCTGGTGCTTCGCTCCTGGGAAAGTCCGCCTCGAGCCAGCACATCTGAATGCTCCGTGGGCCCTGCCCACCACTGCTGACCTCGAAATCAGGGTGCAGGCCGGCCGGGGGTTAGCCGCCTGTTGCCACCCTGGAAACCTGATGGAGTGTAGCAGCACCCACCTTCTGGTCCTGGATGCCGAGACAGCTGAGGAGAGGCCCCCTCACGCTGGCTCCGGGGTCTGCCCCTAGCCCTCACCGTCACCCCTGTCTCCCCCTGCAGCTAACACCTCTCCTCGGCCCGTGTCCGGCGTGGAAAGAGAGCGGAAAGTGAGTATGCGGCTGCACCGCGGCGCCCCTGTCAACATCTCGTCCTCCGATCTCACAGGCCGGCAAGACACCTCCCGCATGTCCACCTCACAGGTAAGCACTGCATGGGTTGGCGCTCTGGGCTCGCCAAGGCCGGGCCGCCGCGGGCCGCGGGCCTGTCCATGCTTGGGCTGCGCTTAGGACGCCAAGCAGAGTGGGGCGCAGGTGATGAAGGGCGTCCTTCCTCCCTTCTTTCCTTTCTCCCCCATTTCTGAGTTTTAACTGGAGAGGGACGCTCGGTCCCTCGCTGCCGTGCAGCCCCTCGGTTGGGAGCCTGAGGCGGGCTGTGCGGACGAAGGGCTTGGCTCCCCAGCCGCACGGTGCAGGTCATGGGGTTTTTTCTCTTCTGCTGCCGTCCTCGCGGCCCCAGCCCCCTCTCCGAGCCAGCCCTGGAGGCTGGGCCATCTTCCTGTGCAGACTGGAAATGCCATGCTGCTCACACCGGGTTTGTCGTGGGCACACAGCCTGTGGGGCAGTGGCTGGAGGCCCCTGTCAGGTGGCGTGGGCAAGCCCGTTGGAGCCTGGCGCCCCGCGATGCACCGTCTTCTGCAGCCCCTGCCCACTTGTCTTCTTTTGGATGAGGCAGCTGTCCTCAGGGAAATGGCTGGGTCTTGCGGGTCCCCTCCACTCAAACCCTCCTCTTCCCTCTCTGGCTTGGGTGCCATGGTTCTTCTGCATCCGCTCATGTGCTCTCCACAGATAAGCTCTTTACACACACACGGACTTCCTTCCTCGTGTAGCTTTCAGGGCCCTCTTCTTCGAATGGCGGTGGGTCAGAGGGCATTTCTCCTGCTTCCGCGAGGGTCCTGCAGGGTGTCTGTGCCCCGCGGTATCTGCTGGGCGGGCAGGCCCTGGTTTTAGGAACGCACTGGAAGTCCTGGGCCGTGCAGTCAGGCAGCACCGCGCTGGGTCACTGGGACGCCTCTCGCAGGCGAGGTAGCGCTGGGCCCTGCTGTTGGCATGCGCTTGGTGCTGGGCATAGCTTGTTGGTGATTGGTGGGCCGAGCACGTTGGTTAGGAAAGCACAGGGTCTATGAGAACCACCCAGAACCTCAGTTCTGTGGCATCAGCTTGGTCTTCCGGCAGAGCAGAAAGTGTGCCAAGACAGAGACAGTGCTCCTGACCTTTTATTTTAATCAAGTGAATGATTGGTTTCGTTTTGCTATAAATGTAAACATTTCTGGTTTACTGGTAGTTCGGCCAGAAATGGGTTGGTTTTGTATGATAACTTTCTCCCAAAGAGACTAAGGGTGCAGGTAGTTTGAATTGTGGGGCTCAAGGAGTCTGGCCAGGGTCATGAGATTGGGCCCCTTACGGCTCCCAGCCCCACACCCCTTCTCCCTCCCTGCAGGACACACGAAGGGCTACGGGCTTCTTCCCACAGGCTCTGGAATCCATGAATCAGCAGCCGGGAACAGGTCCTGGGCAGTGTCTGCCCACGCGTGGCCGAGAGCCCAGGCATGCAGCCTGCTCTGGGGCCCCAAACACCCCAGTCAAGGACAGCTGGGGTCTGTGGATGTCACGGGCTCTGTCTGGACTCAGAATCCAGATGTTGGGCCTCCACCAGCAGAGTTCGTGAAGGGAAGGGACAAACCTAGTTTTCTTTGAGGGAAAAGAAAGTATCTGGAGCATTTGGGACCACTGAGGGAAATGAAAGGGTCAGAGAGCCTGCGACCGACCTCTGGGTCTGAGCCCAGCTTCTCCTCCACGGCGTGGCCAGCCCTAGCCTGCACGCCCCAAGAGCCTTCCTGTGAACTCTTCCTTAGCTGAGGCGAGCTTGCAACTGAGAGTCCTGTGTCTTTGTTGTTCTTTTTGCTTTCCATGTGAAGAAGCAATGTGGGACTAGACAGGAGGGAGGAGCCTCCAGAGATTTGATTTGGGGGTGTTTCCGCTCTGAAAGAAGCACCGGTCACTCTAGGGGGTTTCTTAGGACCTTTATGTTGAGGACGCAGCCCCTGGGGGTGTGTCCCCGATGCACCCCTGTCCCAGGGATGGCTTCCTTCTTTGGGTTTTCCTGTTCACCCATCAGCACTCTTTCTTAGGAGACTGCAGGGCAGCAAGAGACTCTTTCCAAGACTCTCAGCAAGGGGCTGACCCCCTGTCTGCCCTGGTGGTTTGGAAGTTCCAGAACAAGGGGAGTTGCTCCAGCTTCTGCTATTCTATAGGTTCCGTTGGCACTTTCCCCAAAGAAAGCGGGGTGAAGGTAGAGCCAGTGAGGCCTCTGTTAAGCGAGGCTGGCCCTGCCCTAGCGGGGCTGAGGCCGCTTCCGCCAGCTTCCTTCGCCGCTACCCGCTCTCTCAGTTCTTTGTGCGCTTGGAGGAGGGAACGTCGTCTTGTGCAGAGGCACCAAGTCCAGGGAAGTAGTCCATCTGCAAGAAGGTGCTCTGGCCACAGGCCAGCCCGCGGGAGGGCCCTGCTGACCCTCTGCAGCTGGGTGTGGGGGACGGCCGTGGATGCCTGTGCTCTTGGTCTGACCCCCCGGCCACGCTGCACTCCGACTTCGCAGGAGGGTGGCTGCTCCTCGCCCCGACTGCCTTCTCCAGGGCGGCTTTGTGCTGGGCCACAGTCCCCACACCACCGACCCAGAGTGGGAGTCTGGCTTTTCAGCCAGAGCAGCACGGAGCCCAAAGAGCATGTGGTCAGTGGACCTACTGTGGGTTTTTCTCTTTGAGAGGAAAAGGCCTCCTGGGTCCAGTGCTTGTGGTGGAATGTGACTCAGTCTCTGAGCCAGTCACTCCCGGTTGGTTGGTTGGTTGGTTTGCGTTCATGCTCCCAAAACAAGGCCTGCAGCCCCTTGGTCTTCTTGTGGCCAGTCCTCCCCCGGTCTGAGCGCAGGCCGCACTGAGCAGCGAGCAGGGCCTCGGGGAGGGGCCGGTGGAGGGCTGCCATCTGGATGTCAGGTTCGCTCACTGCCTGGGCCCTCGTCAGCCTAGAGGAGCAGCAGCGGCTGCTCTCGTTTGGGGGCCCCTCGCTAGGTTCCCGGGGTCCCCTGTGAGGCGGCACGGCCAGTGCCGGGCCTGGCTGAAGCGAGATGAGGCAGGCCTTCGAGGTGGTTACCAACAGCTCTCTTTTCCCCCCACCTCAGAATAGCATTCCTTTCGAACACCACGGCAAGTAGCTGCACGTCTCCCCGTTGGAAGGCAGCACCGGTGAGTGTGCTCATGTCGGGTCTTGTCAGACAGCAGGCGCCGGGCGGGGCGGGCGCTGACCACCCCCGAGTCCACCACCGGGCTGCGCAGGTGGGACCGGGCTTGCATGCCAGGTGCTGCCGGGAGAGTGTGGTCCCTCCGCCCAGTGCTTCTCCTCGCGTGGATTCCAGAGCAGCCGTGCTCACTCGCCCAGTCTGGGGGCGAGCAGACCAGAGAGTCTACAAATGGGCGGCCCCAGGACCCTGCCCACCGTTGGCTGGCCGTTGGCCCTGGGGCACTCTCGAGGGTCCGGGGCCCGTGGTGGGAGCAGAAGCCCAGGGCTCTGCACTTGCGCTCGGCTCCAGTGGTCCCAGGAGACTCGAGCCGCCCGGCCCAGGGTCCGTTGTGCGGGGCGTGTGTCGTATCGTGCTCAGCTGAGCGGGCCGTGCTTGGTGGGGGCTCTTGCGCTCTTGCTGCGGGAGTCTCCTGGTGGTCTCTGCCACCCTGGCTTTGTCACTCTCTTCTTTCGCATTTATTTCTGTCCTCGTTTGTTTTTCCTTTCGAGCTCGGTCTCTGCTCAGCGTCCCATCCGTGCTGCCGTCTGTATTAACCCGTCAGCCACAGCGCCCGCTCCCCTGCCGTTGGCGCATGGCTGGGCGTCCGAGCCGGGTTCCCTCCGGTCGGGGACACTGTGGCCCCTCCCGCTCAGGGCTTGCCGCTGCTGGGCTCCACACCGCTGGGAGACGGCCGCAGGTCCAGCGTGACTGCGTTCTCAGGGGCACCTCGACGGGAGCTACTTTCCACGCCTCCCCCCATGGGGAGCCCCGGGGCCCACACAGCACCCGGTCCCGGCTCTCAAAACCCCAGGTTACTTTCCAGGAAGGAGTGCTGGGAGCGAGTACTTCTTCCAGCTTGGACTCTGTCTGGTCCGATCGTTCTTGGGCTTCTAGCTTCGGGGCCACCCGGCCTCCTTGCTTGCATGCCTCTTCCTCCTTCCCCCTCTTCCTGTCACTTGTTCTGCTGAGCACGTGGCCTGGCCGCAGAGGGGCCGTCCAGAGTGGCCGGGGTGCGGGCGTCCAGAGTAGGGCTGGGCAGCATCTGTGTCCCCTCGCCGTCACTGGTGTTCTGTGCCCGAGCCTGACCGACTGGCCCCGTGCCTCTGGCCTCATGCTGACCTTCTCCTGTGCTTTGGCTCCGACAGATTCCCGGTCGGGTGGCTTCCAGTGGTCTTCAGTCTGTGGTGCACCGATGAGAACTCTCCTTTTTGCTGTGAAGGGCAGACAATGCATGGCTGATCTACTCTGTTACAATGGCTTTACTAGTGACACGCCCCCCGGTCTAGAACCGAAATGTTAACACCGGGAGCTCTCCAGGCCGCCCAGCCAGCGACGCCCGTGGGGGAAGCAAAACAAACTAAAGCGGACAGACTCCAAAGCGCTGCCGTCACAGGGGCCGCACCGCGGGCCCCCCACGTGCACTCGGTTGTCACGGGCTGGGAAGAAGAGCAGAGTGTGAGAGACAGTTGCAGAGAGAACCAGACTCCCGCTCCAGAGCCTTTCGGTTCCCCTCCAGTGGCCGTGCGCCCTGCTCCCTGACGAGCCTACTGTAACCACCGATCTTCTACTTGGTTAAGACAGTTTTGTATCATTTTGCTAAAAATTACTGGCTTAAATCTGTGTAAAGAGATCTGTCTTTTTATTGTTTCTTTCTTGTCTGTTTTTGCGGTCTTAAAACTGATGTTGACTTTAACGAGCCCTGGAACAAAGGCTGGTGTGGAGTTTCTGTGTAGGGCAGAGCTAGTCAGGGAGCAGAGCGCGCGCGGGCGCCCGTCCTCTGCTTCGTGGTCCCTTTGTCGTGTGGTCCACTGTGGAGAGGGGTTTTCTCACCGGAAGTGCTGTCCCGTGTAGACGTGCGTGTAAGTGATGTGTGTGCGTCTGTGCGTGTGTCGTGTGCCGTGTGTCCTGTGGCCTCATTACACTGGTTTTGCTGTCACTGTCCCTTCCCCACCTACGCCAGATGGCCTGCGCGACGTGGTCCTCAGAGCGGTTAGCGGGCGCGCGCACCGGAGTCCCCCGGACGCGGCGAGAAGGAAGCCGAGCACGGAAGACCTCGGAAGCCAAGGCTTTTTGCACTGGGCGTTGCTGGTCCCCCTGGAGAGGATTTTGAACCAAGAGACATCAGGCCCCTCTTTGGGGTCACGTGTGGTTATTTTGGTGGTGGTGTTGCCTCAATGTCTTTGGATTTGGGAAATTTTCTAAACCGACTGTAAACGTGAACAGTGTAGATTGGCCCTCGCTACGTGCATGAGTCTGTGTGCTCAGAACCCAGGACGCGGCCGTCTGCGCTGTGCCAGGCTTAACCACAGCGGCCTCGGGCCCCAGGGGATCCACCCTGAAGTGCCAAGAAGCTGGTGACTCAGCTGGTCGTCCAGGAGGGTGCAGCGTCACACGCTTCCTTCCACGACCTTCGTTGGGACGTAGCGAACCCCACAGGGGTCAAGAAGCAGGGCGGGGCTGAGTCTTGCAAGAAAGACCCTCGGGGCCACTGGGCCGCGGGTGGTTTTCCAGGACGCTCCCTCGTTCTGTAGCAGGCAGCGGCACCAGGCAGTGGTGGCAACCAGTAGCCGGCCGTCCCCCCCCTCCCCCGCCGGCCCCCCTGTTGTGGGAAACAAGGTGCAATAATTGGTATCCGTGGGTACGTCCACCTCTCCTCCTGTCACCCTGCTGCAGAGTGCTCTGTTTGGAGACCGGGACGCTCGCAGCAGGTGAGGGGCCTAGAGGCGTCCATGTCTGTGTTTCTCCCCTTCCTGCCTCCTCGGGCCCCTAGCACGGGAGCGCCGGTCCCAGGACACCCCGACTGGTGCGTGCTGACGGCACAGAGCGTGGCTGTTGGCTGCTTTGGGAAGTCCTGAGCGGGCTACTCTGTGTTTTGGGGTGCAGGGACCTGGCCAAGTGGGGCTGTGTTTCTGGGAGCGCAGTGCGAGCCTGGGCGGGTCAGGGCGAGTTGGGGGCTCCAGAGGTGGGCCTGCCCCTGCCCGCGAGGCGTTAGCAGCTGCAGCCTCCGACAGAGTGCTGGAGACGGCTGGGGCAGCCTTCCCTCACTGCACATCTGGGCTTCAACCTGAAAGTGCTGGATGCTCGTTTGAGAGGTGGGCCCAGACCCTGGGCCCTCAGCTGTGCGGCCGGCCGTCTGTCCGTCCGTGCGTGCGTACACACTTGCTGCCCTCCCACTACAGGAAATGTAGTTGGCACGTCTGTATCAACCTGTGTATCGGTGGCCAGTCTCTGACTCGGCACATTTGTGTGATCACTGCATTTATGTGCTTAACCACCGTGTAAATAATAAACCCGTGATGACTTTTACCTTTCCCCTCCGCCCTCCACTGCTCTTTATTTCGTAGTCAGGGAGGTGTCGTTGTGTGTAGGTTAGCCAGGTGAAAACTGATCTGAGAAGGGGCGTTCGTGTCCTCCCGTGGCCCAGCGGTGCTCTGTGTGTAAGCTGGTCGGCAGCAGGCCACAGGGACAGGCTGCCCCTTCCCGAGGTCCCAGAGCTGACGTCCGTGCAGGCCATCCACAAGCGCCAGTCCCTTCTCCCCTGGCTTGAGCATCTTCGCGGGGCAGTCGCCTGAGCTCCGTGGGCCTCGGCGCAGCCCGGGAGGAAGTACTGTGCCTGCCTCGAGTACTCTGGGGAGCGAGCAGTGCTCCGGCTGCCACGGAGGGGCGTGCGTGGTTCCTGCGAGGCGGCTGTCAGCCCCAGTCCCCGCGAGGGGCCAGCATACATGCCCTGGGCCTGGGGTTCCATTGTCGTCTGCCCGTCCTCACCCCCCACTCTAGCTCCGTGGCTCCCGGGTGGGCTCGTCCCTTTGTTGTACTCGTGGCCTTGGCTTCCCCCTCCTACTCCTTCCCCCTACTCCTACCCCCAGGGGCCTCAGACCCTCCTGAACAAGAGGGTGTGGGGCCGGCCCTTGGCGCCTGGGGGCGTCCTGGAGGGTGCGGGCCCTGAGTCCCTGCCCTTGGGCTCAGGCCCTCCCCTTCCTGCCACTGGCTGAGCCCAGTGGGCTCTGAGGCTCTGGAACAGGGCTGGGCTCTTCCTTGGCCTTCAGCCCTTCTCGCTTAGCTGCCCGCATTGGGAAGGCAACATGCAGTCTCCTTGCTGCTCACCCCAGCTGCCAGCCCTTGCACCCAGCCAGAGCACCAGTGACACGAGCCCCAAGCTGCCCTCCCCTGCTCTGCCGGGAGGGGGCTGCAGGCAGGACGGGGACCACCGCACTGCCTTCTGCCCAGGGCCCGCCTGTCCCGCTCTTGGTCCCTCGGTGCTAGGAGACGCTCGCTGGCTGCCCCCCACCTTCCTGACGCAGGGCTCAGCCCCAGGGCCAGATGGCGGGCTCTGTGCTCAGCAGTATGCGCTGTCCACTCCGCCTCCAGCTCCCGCCCCTGCAGGCCTCGCCCCCGCCCAGAGGGCTGTCTGGACCCCTTCTGGAACCCCTACACCCTGCTTTTTGTCCTGCTCCTAGCTCCGTCTGGTGGGCCCTCTGAGCTGTGTCTGAGCTCCCAGGAGAGTGTCCGCCAGGGTCTGCGTCAAGGCCATGATTTGGATGCTGGGAAGGCTGGACAGCCCTTCACGACCCCCACTAGTGGGCCGCTGCAGGTCCTGGGCCGCGGCCTTCCGAGGCATCGCTGGCAGATCCCCTGGGCACCCCCAGTGTGGGGCCCACGCGTGTGTAGCAGGTGCCCCAGGTCTGACCAGGCTAGGGCCAACGGCTCGGGGTGGCGTGGGTGATGTGTGCGTGCCCGCCAGGGGGGGCTCAGCACAGGCATCGCCTCACTCGGCGGGAGATTGCTTCAAGGGGGCAGGCCGCGAGCCTCCTTGGGCACGGACACCTGGAGGGTGAGGAACTGCCCCGCTCAGGGCCCCCCGAGCGCTGACTGCTCTCCGGGACTCCTGTGAGGGAGGAGGCCTCAGCCCATAGTAGCCACAGCTTCCTGAGGACAGCAGGTTCCATTTCTCCTATGTCAGGCCCGGCCGGAAACATCTGGAACCAAACCTAGGCAGACAAGACCGCCTGCTCACCCTTGGGCCTCGAACCCCAGCCTCCAGTCTGGGGCGGAGGTGTTGTTGATAATGTGGTGGGCAGGGGGCCTTGGGTCCACCTAGCGTGTCCACCGAGGTGCCAGCTGAGGGACAGACGGACCCGTGTTCCTGAGGCCAAGGGAGGGTGGCAGGACTCTTGCTCTCCCTGCAGCACGTGCGTGTGTGCTTACGTGGACCCCAGCCCCCGGGCCAGCTGTGCATCCTGCCTCGATTGGAGCAACGCTGACATGCTGACCGGCTCAGAACAGCTTGATACTAAGTGTCCCCAGAGCAGGACAGGGTCCCCAGATGCTGGGCCAGGCCTTTGGGGACAGGTTCGGAGACCGGCGGGGACGCACACTTCTGTGGCTCCTGGCTGGCAGCAGGGAAGCTAGGAGGGCGAGGGTCGGGGACAGTACACTGTGAGGGCCGGAAGCCAGGTGGAGCTCATACGGCAGAGGAGGGCCCTGCAAGGGCTCTGCCTCGACCCCTGCAGCTGCCAGCACCACCACAGCCCAGGCCCCCAGCAGAGGGTCCGGGCAGACCAGGAAGGGCGTCGGGGGGCGCCCGGGGCTACGGGCCAGCGCTGCAGGCGGATGCCTGGTCCCTCCGCACAGCTTGAGGGCAGGTGGAGGCGGGAGAGCAGCAAGCCCCCTCGGGGGCGACATCTCTGGGAGGGACAAGATGTGAGCTTTCACTTGCTTTTCATTGCAGAGGAGCAGGGACGTGGCATCTCTCCGGCTGCACGCGGCCCGCCAGGGTGCCCGCTGCCGTCCCCAGCGCCCGCGACGCACCACCTACTGAGGCGGCCCCAGCGGCCTCTGACCGGGCTCCCAGCCACACAGGCCACCACTGGCCACGAGGGCAGGTGGGTGTGAGGTACTCGGGGCGAGGCCAAGCAGGGCTGGACAAGGAGGACGGGAGCAGATGCCCACCCTGGGCACTGACCGCGTAGGGCCACGATCCGCCAATCGAGGGGTGAATAAATGGAAGGCAGGAAGATCATTTTCTTTAAACACACACGCAGTGAACTAGAATCACACGTATGTCTCAGCTTAAGTGCACATGCCTTGTAGGGGGCTCCCGAGCGCGGCCACACCCCTGCAGCACGGCCCCCTTCCCTGCCAGCCCCCGGGGCCGTGTGTGGATGCTGAGCCGTCTGGGCTCCAGCAGGGCAGGGTTCAGAACCAGCAGCTTAGAAAGCTGACCCGGCTGACAAGGGCCAGAGCCACTCTGTAAAAACCAGATTGTTGAGAAAAGGAATTTGGAGTGAACAGACCCCTAACCCACGTAGAAAAACACCCTAGCTCCTTGAAGACGTTCCTTCCAAGGTGGCTCCTCCCACACGCAGGTTTATTTCAGACCTTCAGAGGTGAAGGGAGTTTGGTTCCCCAGGCACCCCGCGAGGGGCGGGCTGGGGCGCCGTGGTGGAGACAGGGCAGGATGGGGCGCAGCCAGCCATGCGGGGAGGCCCCTTCCCGAGACCGTGCCGCTCAGCCGGCTCTCCCCAGCCTCGCCCTCTGATGCCCGCCATATTGTCTCTGAAGCGTGGGTTTCTAGGTCCCTGAGCTCAGCGGTGGGCACCGGGCTACTCCGGGGTCAGCAGGCTGGTTCCCTGGTGCAGACGGCTCGTAACCTCGCGGCTGGGCTTCACCAGTTTGGAATGACACGGTTCCCAGCCCACCACCTCCCCGGAGAAACACGGACGGCCAAGCTAGTCCTGTTTGTGAAATAAACATGAGCGTTGAAGTCTCTGTCCGGTTCCATCACCCCCGCTGGCCTCCTGGGCTCAGACGCTTGTTTCTGGGGTGTGAACGACCTCCCCGTTTTTCTCGGGCTCTGCTTTCAGGAAGTGCTCCACCTCCCGAGAGTCCACCCTCACGTCCGCGGGGGGCTTGTGGCGCTCCTCTTCCTCCACGGCCGCCTCGGGCCTCTTCCTAATGCAGAAGAAGTTGCCCAGCACCAGCACGAGGGAGGAGGCCAGCACCTCGGCCCCTGCCAGGACAAACACGTACTGGTAGACGTGCGTCGCATCCAGGACCTTGCCTGCAAAGGGGTTACAGCGTCAGCCTGGGCTGAAGGTCACCCGCACGGTCACTGGCTACTCGTGCGCCACTGTGCTGTTGGGGACAGCCCGGGGGCCCCTGTCCCAGCCTCCCCGCCCCCCCCCCCCCCCAGGCAGCACGGACCGGGAGGCTTGGAGGAGGGCTGGAGCCGAGCAGGTGCAGGAGGCAGGCGCCCGGAGGTAACCTGACCACACAGCCTGTCACGGGAGGCCTCGTCACCCACGGCCCCCACAGGAACTGCCTGGGCCCCAGAAGGGCCCCAGGACCATGAGGCACAGCCCAGGTGCTCGCGGGGTCCCGTGGGGGGGGGCCTACAGAGACAGCTGGAGAGACCCAGGCCAGGCTGCCCGCCTAGCCCACACCCCAGGATTTTCTCAGTCTTCACAGAGAAGAGCAAAGGCCCAGCATAACCGAAGCTGACCCCCAGCGCGGCTCTGAGCTGGCCCACATGCGGGGATGGTAGCGCCCTCAGGATTCACGCACATGCCAGCCTTTGGCCCAGGAGGTGCATGTGGCCGGTGTTCACTCCTGACACCTGCTGGTCACCTGGGCAGGGGTCCCTGCAGCTAAGAGCCCTCCCGCGGTGGGCCCCCTCCCCCAAGAAGACTTGCTCCCTGCTGCGTCCCACCACTCACCTCCCGATGGGGGCCCAATGAGCACGGCGATGGCCTCCAGCAGCAGCACGAGGCCAATGGCACTGGAGAACTTCTGGGTGCCCACAATAGCCATGAGCACCTCGAACTGCAAGGCCCCCACCATGCCGTAAGAGATGCCGAAGAAGATGCAGAAGACCACCAGGCCTCCATAGTCGCTGGCCGTGGACCCCGTGAGGTCAGTGAAGCCATTGAAGAACATGGAGAAGCTGAAGAGGTAGACGGAGTAGGGCCGCACCTTCTTAAGGCCTGTGATGAAGCCGGCGGTGGGCCGGGCAAAGATGTCAACGAAGCCCAGCACGGTGAGCAGGAAGGCAGCCTGGGTGTCGGGCACACCCAGGTCCTTGGCGTAGCTCACCACAAACACGGGGGGCACAAAGAGCCCCAGCACCATGATGGAGGCGGCCACGGCGTAGATGACAAAGCCACGGTCCTTGAAGACACTCAGGTCCAGCAGCCGATGGGATGGCCGCTGGGGCGCAGGCCCCGAACCCGGCCTGGGCGCCTCCAGGGGCCTCATGAGCGCAGCGCACACGCAGCAGTTGAGCAGGAGGCCCCCCAGGATGAGGAAGCCGCCCCGCCAGCCATAGTGGTCCTGCAGCAGCTGCCCCAGTGGGGACAGGGTGCACAGGAAGACAGGGCTGCCCGCGGCTGCCAGCCCGTTGGCCATGGGGCGCCTCTTGTTGAAGTAGCGGTTGAGCATGATGAGTGATGGCTGGAAGTTGAGCGCCAAACCCAAGCCTGCGGGAGGGGCAGGCGGGTGAGGCATCATGCCAGCCTGCCCGGCCCCTCGTCCCTGTCCCCCGTTTTCCACCCTGAAGTTCTAGGTGAGGGTCTGCAGGTGTCCATGTGAGGGGACCCAATGTGTGTCCAAAGCCCCTGTCCCCAACTGACATGCGAGGAGAGACCAGTGGGGAGCAGGGGACAGACTGATGCCAGGGCAGCTGCCCGCTCCTCAGAGGCCCTGCTCTGGGTACAGTGCCCCAGTGTCCAGCCACCTGAACCATCGCACCCGGCCACAGAGGGGCCAGTGTGCCATGGCCTGCCCCGCCCCCGGCCGGGCCCCACTCACCGGTAATGACCCCAGTGGTGAGGTAGAGCTGGATGATGCTTCTGCAGAAGGACGCAGCCACCATGCCCAGGGATGCCAGGAGGCCACCCGCGAGCATGACGGGCCGGCAGCCAAAGCGGTTCACGCACACGCTGCAGAGTGGGCCTGTGGGAGGCGGGGGCACAGGGTTGGGCCCAGTCTCTCCATGCTCACGGAGAGACCTGGCCTGGCGGCCGGGCCAGGGCTGGCCCCACCCTCCCCTGACGCCCCCGCCCCTGCTCAGCAGACACACCAGGAGCCCAGGGTGCGAGAGTCACACTCAGACGCCTTCCTGAGCAAAGCACGGTTCACAGCGAAATGTCCTGCACGGACTCAGCCTGTGCCCGGTTTGGCCCTGTGGGGAGCCACGGCTTTTGGTCAGGAGCCCCTCCAGAGCTCCCCTGCAGGCACCCCAGAACCCGGATGCTCCTGCCAGTCCCCCACTCCAGGCCTTTTTGCGTGTGAAGCTCTTAACCAGAGCTGCCCTTGGTGAACTCCAGAAGTGACCACCGGGCGTGACAGCCCCGTACCTGTCCCGTACAACATGGCCAGCAGGATGGAGGAGATCCAGGCTGTGTCGCTGTAACCGATCCCAAACTCACGCATGAGCTCCTTGAAGAAGACGCTGACCGCCTTGGGGAAGGCGTAGGAGAAGCCCGTGATGACGAAGCAGCCAAAGAGAACGGCCCAGCCCCAGCCCCCATCAGGGGCCTTGATGCCTGTGGGGCCCTCGTCAACCACGGCACCACCCATGGCCAGGAGGGCGGGTTGTGCGTCCCTGAGGAAGGAAGTCAAGCTGACGCAGTTGTCTGGCCTCGGCCACAGCAGGGCCCTGCTGCCCGAGCTACCTGACAGCCCCGCCTCTGGCCCTCACCTGCCTTGGGCGCAGGGCAGGAGCATCTGGGCTGACGGGCAGCTGCAGCCTTTCCTCCCGCCCCCACTCAGGCCTGGCCTGCTCCCACCCAGCTGGCTCTAAAGGGCAGTGGCTTTTTTGGGCTCAGCACGGTCTCAGGTTACCTCCCGAGGAGGACAGACCCCAGCAGGGCCATCAGCCCAGCCCAGCCCAGCCCGTCCTCCCGCCTGACCCCATGTGGGGGAACAGGCTGCACTTTCCGTCCACTGTGGGCAGGTCCTGTGAGAGGGGGCCTGGGCCCCACCTGGGGTGGTATCCCTGGGGGCCTAATCTAGCTGTGGCCAGCCGTGCTCTCCCACCCCCAGGGGAGCGGGGCTCCTGATTCTGTCCTCTGTCGCGCTGCCCCCTGAGTGAGAGCCTGAGGGAGCGGCGCGGGCAGGCCGGAGTCGGGGGGCGGACAGTCCTTACCACAGAGGACGCCCCCGTGCCCTCTGGCGAAGGAGGGACTCCTCCCTCCCAGTTATCCACAGGCTGCAGCTCTTCCAGGAGAGCTGGGCGGGTGGGGGGAGGGGGGATCTCTGCAGATCAAGGAAGGGGAGACCCCAGGCAGGCAGCAGAGCTGAATGAAGGGATAGGTGGGCAGGGGTGCAGCTTCCGTGCAGCCCGCTGGCGCAGACCGGGCTGCTAAGGCGAGGAGGGTGCTGCCTGCGCCCACTGTCGGCCGGGAACCCCCCAGCAGCCCCGGGCCCACTTCCTGCCCAAGCCACAGCTTAGCCCCGTTGAGGCACCGTAACTTGGAACGCTGGGACCAGACGTCCATCTGGAGACCCCAGCCTCCCCTCTTCATCCCTCGCCTCCACCTGATCCTAGCACCGGAAATCTCCTGATCCCAGAGATGAGACTGGTGGCTGGTCCCCCCAGCTCACCGGACAGAGGCTGTTTCCAGAAGAGGGCCGCCTCAGCGCAGGTGTGGGGAAGGGAGGGCAGCCCCCGGGGCCTGGGCCTGTTGGGTCCAGCCCGCTCCGCTGCCCGCCACAGCCTGGCCGCTCCCCACCGGCAGTGTGCGAAAGACCAGCTCTGGGGGAAAGAAGTCCCAATGGGGAGCATTTGCCAGTTCTGTGGTGTAAACGCTCCACCTACCCGGATGTCCAGGAACGTCCCAACCGGGAGACTGCACGGCCCCAGTGCCAGCCACCTGGCTCCACCCCCCCGTCCCCTTTCCGACATCATCCTTGACCTTGCCAAGCCCCCTGGGCGGCCCATTTTCTGTGTGCGAGGCTTAGAACCTGGGGCAGGACTTTGGAGTGAGGACAAGGGCCTCAGCGCCCGGCCCCTGGGAGTGCAGGGTCACGGAGGGGGAGGAGGAGTGCGGAGAGTAACCCCCCAGCCTCCACCCTGCCCCTGCCCCCCACACACCTGACTGTTGCCCGGGGGGGTGGTGGGGGGGTCTGTGTGCGGGGTGTCTGGGTGATTCCAGGCAGCAGCTGCTGTCGAAGAGAACCTCCATTAGATGACGGGTCCTCAGGAGCCAGCTGGCCGCCAGGCCGACACAGCCCACTGGAGCAGAGAGCGGCCCCGGCCCCCACCCCCGGCCGGGCCAGGCTTCACAGCCACGGGCACCGCGTCTGGGAAACCCAGGAGACCAGCTCTCCTCTCCCTGGACTCCCAGACCCCATGCCCTTTGGCACCGCCCCCCCACTTCCCACCGGCTCTCCCAAGTGCTCAGAAGGCTCGCGGACCGGAGAGCAAGATGCAGGGTGTTACTGAGGCCAAGGGCTGCGCAGCCCCCGGGGGGCACAGCTGAGAGGTTCACGGGGGCACCCGGACCCAGGAAGCCCCTGGTCCTCCTGCAGACATGCCCACAGCCCCCCCAGGTGGCCCATTCCTGCATCTAAGGCATCCCTGGAACCCGGGACTGGACTCTGCCTGGATAGTCTGGCCTCACCCCCGGGTTCGGTCCTCCAGATCCCTGCATCAGACTGCAGCCATGTGCCCGAGGCTGGGACGGGACAGGGGGGCGAGCGCCATCCCACAGCCAAAACACACGGGATGTGGACACCAAGCAGAGATATCCCTTACCCTCGTTAGTGTCAAGCTTCAAAGGTGGCCGTGGGGGCCCCGAGGGGCTAGTTGTCTCGGGTTGTGGGTTTATAGACGTTTACTCATTTTTTAAAAAATAAAGTAGCCAAAGCAGGAAGTGTGTCTGAAACCAAACATTAGCAGCAGCTCAGCTCTGTAACCCCAGGGTCACGGAAGAACCCGGGGCCCCCACTGAGACGTCCTTGGCTGCACCAGCCACAGCCGGCACCAGAGGAATGGGAGCCCCCAGCCTCTGATGCCCCGTTCTCTGCTCATCTGCTGTTCGCCAGGGCTGGACGCCCCCCGCCCAGAGGCTGCCCTGGTCTTCAGGAGACAGATGCTGGCCACCCGTGCGACCCAGGGCGTCCTCCGAGCCAGCACCCAGGAGGGTGAGGGGTAGAGAAGTAGGTGCCACGGCCTAGCTCCCACCCACCCTAGAGGCCCCAGAGGCTCTTCAGACACTTTCCTCGCAGCTAACCCGCAGCCTGGGGTGCCAGCCAGGCTAAAACCCTCCCCGTTGCCCACACCAGCCCGTCCTCAGTGAGGTTTCTCAGGAAGGGAAGGGAATGGGTGGGGCCTCTAGGTTTGGAGCAAAAGGGTTTCGCCCAGGAGGGCTTTGCAAAGAGGGAGGGGGGGTACGTAGAAACGGGGCTGGGATTTCCAAGAGCAAAATGGCCTTGTCAGCCCAGCTCACCCTGGGGGAGGAAGGCTGGCAGAGGCCCAGACTGGCGGATGTTCTCAGGACAGCCCTGCCACCGGCCCTCTAGAGCCAAGATGGGAGGCGTGGCCCCCTCTGGGGGTGTTGGGGGCCCTCGCTGCAGTGCAGGGGGAGGTGGTGGCAGCACGTCTGTGGGTACGCACCAGCCAGCTGGCCTTGTGATGACATTCACCCTCCCTGGGAAGCATGCGAACCACGTCCCCAGCCCAGAAATAACCCGCCCTCGGGGCCTCAGAAAGCCGATCTCCCTGGTGGGGTGTGTGTGTGCCCGCTTGTGGGTCAGGTGAGGCTCCGGGAGCTGCCCCCCCACCACTTCCCAAAAAGGTCCCACCGCCCCAGGCAGCTGGAGCTGAGCAGAGGTGGGCCCAAGGAGGCATGTGCACGGGGATCCCTGGGAACACCCCCTGCAGCGGACCACACATTGGAGGGGCCCTCGTGCTCTCCCAAATCAAGGGCTTCTGCTAGCTTCTCCCTCAGCAGTCCACTGGCTGGCTGAACCCCACCTGGGGTCAGCACTCCAGACCCCAGACCCTGAGCCAGCCTGGCCTCCTGCCAGGCCTGTTCTCCAGCATCACCCCCTCCCCAGTGTCCCCTTTCTCTGCCTACTCTACTCAACCGGGTTTTGAAATGCCCTGCCCCACCCGCTGCATCTCCACCCGGAGGGCTAGTGCAGAACTCACACAAACAACCTGACTCCTCAGAGCCCTGGCCTTGGCCAGCCCCACATCTTCTTGGCTTCACCCATTTCCAGAACCCCTCCCGCGGCTTCACTCCAGGCTGTAGACCCACTGCCATCCCCAGTGCACTCTGGCCTGCTCCCCATTAGACCTCTGTGCCAGAGGTCCTCGCACCCACCTTGGATCCCGGGTCTCTGGCCTGTCAGGTTCCAGGGCAGGCCATGTCCCCTAGGTTCAGTGTGGTGACCTCCGACTCTAGAGCCTGTGGCCTATCCCAGGTGCTCTGCAGGTTCCCCTTCTGAGGAGACTGGCCAGTTATCTAAGCAGACTTCCAGTCCTTGGAGACCAGCTCCAGGCAGGCGGGGCATGAAGGGGCAATTGCATTCCTTCCTGGACTCTTCCTGCACCAGGAGGCCTGGGAGACACGCCTGGGCACCAAAGAAACAGCCCCATTGTGGCTAGCACCTGGCTTCGTTTGAGACCCAAGGTCCCTGGAGCATAAGGGGGTGGTGGATGGACATAGGAGTGCCATGCCTTCTGGGGGAGGAAGGGCCCCCCAGGCCCCCTTGCTTCCTTTCCCCACTGCCCCTGTTGCGCAAACAGGTACCAGCCTATCGGATGTCTTTGCCTGCCCAGGGCTCAGAAGGCACCACTGGTCAGCGGGCTTGTTCCCTTCCCAGGGCCTGTGCAGGACCCCAGATGCCGCCCCCCCGCCGGGTGCAGAGCTGGGGCTGGAAGGAGGTGGGTCTTGGGCACTGCCCCAGGCATGATCCAGGCCTGTCAAGCCCAGCCTGGGCCCTCCGCCCCACTTCCACTGACCCCGAAGCCCCCCAGGGCATGTCTAGTGCCCTCAGGGCTCTCGGGTGGGCTCACATCTTCTTGCAGAGGCCAGTGGAGCAAAAATGCTGGCTTCATGCATCAGACTGGATGCTGCACTGGGGCAGCCCCAGGTGACGAGGACGGGGCCATGGGCCCTGTGGGCGGCCCTGTGGGCAGCTGCGGGCTTGCCGGTCAGGGCACCCTCCTCTAGAAGGCCCAAAGGGGCCCGGGAGCAGAAGGGGCTGGAGCAGGCCCCGGGCAACCCCCTCCAGCCCTGGACCCTGCCCATCACATGGCCACCTCGTCCCACCCCTCGACTCGCTAAGGCCAAGGCCAGGAGGGGCCTCTGCATCAGCAAGCCCGCTCGCCAGGGAGGGCCCCTCCCACCGCCACCCCGGTGGGCCTGGTGGGGCTGGGGCGGTAGAGACGGGGAGGGATGTGGGAAGGGAGCAAGCTCCGCCCGCGCCGGCCCAGCGCGCTCGGCTTGGCCGAGGGACGTGGGCGACGTGACCGCGCCAAGGGAGGAGCCGCCACCGTATTGCCTGGAGTAGGCGCTCGCCCCGTCTGTTACCGTATAGGCCCGGCGCGCGGGCCGCTGGGGTCGGGGAGCTCCGGAACGGCCCTGGGCGCCAGTGGACGCCCGTGTCGCCGAAGGAGATCCTGCGGCCCCTCCCGCGGCCCCCCAGGGCGGGACCGGCCTCATTTTCTCTCCGCAGGGGCCCGGCCATGTGGGCGCCAGCTCGGGCTGGGAACGTTGACTGAGAACTCGCGTCTGCAGGAAGGCTTCCCCGCACCGCCCATTTCACGGATGGGGCCGGAAGGTCTGTACCTGCCCGGCGGCACTGTGCGGAGTCCCAAGCCTCTCCACTCCTGGCCCACCGGCGGCGCCTCCGATGGGCTGGTTGCTCTGTGAGGCAGTCCTCACCCTACTGGACTCCCAACCTTGGAGTGGCACTGGCCCTTCTCCTTTACGCTGGCCAGGTCACTGCCGGGACCCTCCCTGGAGCAAGTAGGGCCTGGCCCAGGGGACCGCACAGGCCCCCTTTACACACACTCCCTGGCTACTGTCCTGGAGAGCACGAACCCCTCTGTTGCTGGCCCTCCACACTGAGGTTCTAGCTGGAGTCCGGCAGAGCCAGGTTGTCTCCCGAGTGCCAGGCCCTGCCCAAGGTCACAGCAAGTCGCTACAGAGCCTGCCCTGGGACCAGGCCTCCCATGGCCCGGCCCGGGCTCAGCGCACACCACACGCCCCCCGGCAGGAGGCTCCACACCTGCCTGAGCCACCCGTGCCCTCAGAGCCCTTTGGGGCAAGCCTCCTGCCAGAGGGGCCGCTGCCCAATCACACTGCCCACCCACAGAGTGATGGCACGCTCTGCCCCTCACACCCAGTGTGCACTTCGGATGTGCAGCTCAGTGCCTCTGGGCTACCCCTCTGTCCCTCACCTAGATGCCAGGCACCCCCAGTGGCCATGACCTGACTGCTTCCCTTCTGCTCACAGCCTGCCGGCTACTGGCCTCACCCAGCATCCAGGAAGGTACATGGTCAACCCACTTTCCAGGTAAGTAAACTGAGGCCCCGCCTGGTTTCCCATGGGCCAGGGGCCTGGCGGGGGGAGGAGGGGTTGAGACGAGCCAGGGCGTCCAGCCTGATTCAGAGGGAGCCCCCTACCTCTCTGCCCCGGGCCTGGGCTGGGAGCCGTCGCCCGAGGGCGGGTGTGGGACGGCGAGTGTTCGGGCGCGGGAGAAGCGGGAGGAGGTGAGGGAGACAGAGGCCCGCGGGCCAAGACACCACCACCGCCCAGCGCCACGCCGGGAGCGCACGTGCACCCCGCGCCCTCGGGAGGAAGGAGCCCGGCCAGGATACCGTCCGCCGCCGAGCACAGAGCTGTCCACACCCGCGACCCGGCTCGGCTGCCCTGCGCATCCGCCTCCCGGCCGGGGCCCAGCCCCTGAAGGCACAGGGGCGCACGGGGGCCGGGTCCGAGGGCGGGGCCGGGGCGCGGCTGGCTCCCCGGAACCCCTCGGTGGTGGCCGCCGCGGGGATGGGGCGCCCGAGGCCGGGATGGGGAAGGGGCTGGGGGCGAGCCCGCCCCGCCGAGCATCCGCGCCGCGCCTACCTGCCGCCGCTCGGCCGCCGCGCGCCTCTGTCCGCCTGGCTGCCGGGGGAACTCGGAGCTCCGGCCGCTCGCGCCGCACGTCCCCCGCGCGTCACCGCCGCCTGGCGCCGCCCCTGCCCGCCCCGCCCGGACCCCGCGCCGCGCGGGAGGGGCGCCCGGAGCTCCCGACGGCGCCCGAGCTCTCGCGGGGCGGAGGGACCCCAACGCCCACCCTCACCCCCCGCGCGGACCCGGGCCGGGGAGGGAGGGGCGCCCTCCCGCCCGGCCTCTCCCGCCCCCCCCGCGCGCCCGGGCCGGCCCCCAGGTCTCGCCCCCGCCCCGGGGCTGCACGCCCGGCCCCGTGGGGCTCCCACCTCCCCGCTCAGCTCTGGGGCGCTCAGGCCTCCCTCCCCAGGCCCCCCTGGAATCTCGGCCCCGTCCAAGCCTCGGCTCCCTCCGGGCTGGGGAGTGGGCCGGGCCCCCCGCGCGCCGGAGGGATCGTGGACACGGCAGTCAACCTCTCCGAACTTCCGTTTCCCCATGTGGCTCCGCGCCCTGCGAGGCCAGATAAAGGCGGTGCCCTCCCCTCAGGCGCCCAGAACCGGCCGCGGTGGGGTGGCACGCCAGTCCCGGGGCGCTCCCGTCCCCACACCCGCCGCGCTCGCCCCGGGGGAGGGCGGATCCCAGCTGGTCCCAAGTGAGGCGCTTCAAGCCCCATTTCCTCATGTGTCTCATGGAAAGAGCTGGCTCAAGTTTGAGGATGTGCCAGGGAATGTGGCCGTTGGTGGCAGCCGCCCAGCCGGACCACAGGAACACTTTCCACCCAGCCGACTTCGAAATGACGCTCCAAGTCCCCTGGGACTACAGGAGGCTGAGACATTGGCGACTCTGTGCTCGTGGGGTGGGAGGGCAGAGAGCATCAGTGGAGGGTAAAGGGGTACCCCTCCAGGGTAAAGGGGAGTGGGCAGGGTGACAGTATTGGCCTCCTGGCTGAGTCCACCATCCGACTGCCCCTCCTGAGATGCCAAGTCCACCAGGGCCTTCTGCTTTCTCTTTGGGATGCTGAGAGACCACACCCGACGTGTCCCCTGTGAAAAGAGGCCTGGCACTCACAGAGGCTGGGCTGGGTCTGCCCCTACCCCTGCTTGGGGCCTGACCACCCTCACCCCAAAAATGCTAAAGAAATCGCCCTGTAAGAAAAGGGTGAACAGAGCCCAAGTCTCCAGCTCTGGCACACGGTCGGTCCTAGGGCTTCCGGATGAAGGCCTAGATCCTGGGTATCTGTAGGGGCACTTGGGGGGGGGGACGCAGATGCCCACAGGGTCTCACAATCCAGCCCAGCCTCAGGAGTACCCCCCATTTGCCTACACCAGCCGATGTTCAACCCACAGGCTGGAGGTGGGGGTACCCTAGTGTGGGAGGGCATCAGAGGGGGTGGTGAGGCCTCAGGGTGCTTGGGGCAGGGTGCAGCTGCAGAAAGGAATCCCCCCACCTGTGGTGGTACTTCCAACCTCTGGAGGGTGGAGCACCGTCCTCCCCTGCCTCAGGTTATTTAGACACACACCCTGCCCAGCTCAGGCACCTCTTATCCCTCTTACCGCCACCCAGATGCCTCCCATCTTCACGGAACTTGGGGGCTATTGCACCCCACCCTGAAGACTGAAGATTCCTCTTGGGTAGGAGCTGTGCAGCCCTCAGCCCCTGACCCCCAACCCCTGCCCCCACCCCAAGACCGAAGAGCACAGAGTGGCCAACAAGGAAAGGCAGGCGGGGATGGCTGGGGTCTTCCTGCTCTCTCCCAGTCTACCTAAGCCTACAGCTCGGTCTTCTCTGAGCTCTAAGACCTGGGAGGACCCCACACCTCCCCCAGTGATTGGAGGGAGTGCCTGGGATTCAGCCCTTGCGGCCCTAGGAGGGAAGGGACCTTGCAGGTCCAGCTAGGAGAGCTGGGGGCGGTCAGCCAGGGACACCTGGTTCTACAGGAGCCCTGAGGAGGGAGAGGACAGTCCCCCAGACTCAGAGCCCCTCAGGCATGGTCTTCTGTGGGTGTGTGTCCTGGGGCCAGCCTGCCTGTCCACCCAGAGCTGAGGCAGAGGGCAGGCTGGTCCGACACCCGCTTTGCAGCCTCCTCCCCTGCCCCAGTAGAGCATTCCAGGGCAGAGGGCTTTGACTGGGGGTGGGGTGGAAGACCAGAATGGGGGCTGGCAGAGTGATGACTGCTGGTGTGTGGGCAGATGGTTCTTCGTGGGAAGCCAAGTGGCTGACAACCAGAGGAAGACTCTCCCCAGGGCTTCATCCGGACCAGCCCTGCAGGGGAGGGCCAGGAGCCTCTGAGACCGGAAACCCTTGGCCTCACCTCTGAGGCCTCTGCCGGTCCCTTAACAAAGGTGCCCAGCACTGGGAGGGGCTCAGGTGGCCAGGCTCCATCCTGCACACAGCCCCACGCGGCACCTTCAGGCTTGGGCTGAGCCCCCTACCCTGAGCTTCCCCTAGACCCTTCATTCCGCTCAGATGGTGCCCTGTGCATTGCAGGCAGGAGTGGCTGCACTTCTCCAGGAGGGGCAGAGAAGGCCAAGGGCACCCACCGCAGACCCAGCCCCGATGCCCGTTCCCCGCCAGTGGCCCTGGGCCAGCCCCACAGCCCAGGCTGCCCTTTTCTGAACGGAAGGGAGTGGAGGACCTAGAGAGGTGTAGCCATCCTGGCGAGGGAGTGGCTTCACAGGATGGCCCTGTCCTGGGTGAGGGGCACTTCCGGATGACCTGATCTGGCCCTGGCCCTGCCTTCCCCCACGGTTAGCCACACCCCTCCTCTCTGTCTCCTGGACTCCCAATTCCTTGAATGGTTGCAAGTCACAGTTTCGGATCCTGTCAGGCCCCGCAGGGTGCTCCGAGGGGCCTCCAGGGCTGTCCCCAGCACCCCGCCCAGCCAGCTGCAGCCCCCGGGGGATACACTCTGCCTTTCTCAAGAGCTACTGGGTCTGGAGATGGACTCGGAGGAGGGTTGTCTGCTCAGCCCATCGTCTGCGGCTCGTCCCATCTCCATCTTCCCTGTGCATCCAGACAGAGGTGCCAGGCTCTGCCAGGCTCTGCTTCTCTCTCCAGAAATGACCCTGGACACCTGGAGAGACTTTGAGGGCAGTGGCCACAGGGAAGAGGGTGGAGGACAGGCTTCCTGCTCCTACCTGGGGCCAGACCTAGGGCTCCAGGTTGCTGATGGAGCCATGCAGATCTCCCATTCTCGAGTCCTGGGACCTCACCACTGGACTCCAGGCCATGCCACCCACCGGATGGACAGGACCAGGGCCAGGACCGGCCAGGGAAGGTGAAGAAGGCCATACCACGGCCCCTGCCCTCCTTAGGGAGCTGGTGCTCACTCCCTACCACACCTTCACCCACTCCAGGGTGGAGAGGCCACTTTTGCAGATGAGGCCAGCGGGAGCAGGGGACCCTCATCCAGCCAGGGCAGCTGGCCCAAGGCCGGGGGTTTCTTTTTTCTTTTTTTTTTTTTTTAAAGATTTTTATTTATTTATTTAACAGAGAGAACACAAGTAGGCAGAGCGGCAGACAGAGGGAGAGGGAGAAGCAGGCTATCCGCTGAGCAGGGAGCCCCATGTGGGGCTCGATCCCAGGACCCTGAGATCATGACCTGAGCCAAAGGCAGACGCTTAATCATCTGAGCCACCCAGGCGCCCCTAGGCCAGGGGTTTCTAACCACTTTCCTCCCACCCCCTCCCTCCCCCAGGGCCTTTACCTGGGATCTGTTCAGGCTCCCAGAAAAATAAACACATTAGCCGCTTGGCCGGCCAGAGCTGTGAACAGAGGCAGAAAGAGGCTGCAGAGGCCAGATCCCAGCCCAGCCTGGCATGACTCACCTGCAGTCCCCACCAGGGCAGGTGTTGGGCATGGTGGCTGGGTGGTGTCTATTGGGGGGTGGGGCTGGGGATATCTGGACTGGGCGTATCTGGGGGAGGGTGGGGGTTTCTGGGGAGTTGCGGGTGTCTGGAGGGACATTGGAGGTATCTGGGGTTTGGGGTGTCTGGGGGGTTGGGGTATCTGGGGAAGGTTGGGGGTTTCTATGGATGGGGGTGTCTGGGGAGTTGGGGGTGTCTGTGGGTAGGAATCTGCGGGTTGGGGTCATCGCAGGTTGGGGTATCTGTGGGTAGGGCTATGGATTGGGAGTGTCTGTAGGTGGAGGTGTCTGGGGGCTGGGGGTGTCTGGGGTGGGGGTTGGCACGGCTGCCAGAACATTCACACCCCGAGGTCAGTGGGATAGCTGGGCAGATGTGCCGGAGAACCTGATCCAGTTGGGGAGAGGAAGCGGCAGAAAGCAAAGCCAAGTGGAGACTGGCTGGATTCAACCCTGAGACCTCTCCGGACCCCTCTCCTGTGTGGGAAGTGGGGGCGGTGAAGCCCGCCCGACTGCTCTTGGAAGACAAAGGTCCTGCCCTCCCTCCTGCCCCCGC